GGGCTAAGTTCGGATGTAACCGAACATTTTATATTCTCACAAAGTCAAACTGTATACTTGTTTGAGATTTCTTTATATATTATATTTTGTTTCATTTGCATAGTGGATAGTGAAAGATAGAATTTAAAATGGTTTGGCTTATCGCGCTTTTAGTATTTCTTAACAGTACCGTTATATGGGGAGTGGGCGGGGTTGTCACCCGATTTCACAGAAAACATTTGTTCTCAATGAATTTTGTTATTATAGCTTTAGCGGTATAGGAGATATGCACATTAAACCTATAAGGGGGTGGGCCACCCCACTTTAAAAAAAAAAATTTTAACTGCAGATGCCCCTCCCTAATGAGCTGCTGTATACCAAATAACAATCTTGTATCTTATTGTGGAGCTTAGTTATGGGAATTTATTTCGTCTAAAGAGAAGTTTGTGTATTTAATATCTCTGAGAGTACCCTTATGAAATTATCGTCAAAATGACAACTAGTTATCGATCAAGGTGGTGCATATTTGAAATAATCAATTCCTTTTGACTAGATCTTATATGTACGAACAACATTTTTTTTCGAAAAAACGCTAACAACTTTTTTGGCTCTATACCAAGCAATACAATCATACCTTAGTGGTTTGGTAAAATCCGTACGTACCTCGTGAGCTGAAAAGAGATGAACCCATTGGCCGTCCAACGAAGACGAAGAGAGTTACGGGGTCGAAAATATAAGAAATACACAAAATGTAGTTCACGCCAACTGACACTGTAAATATGTTGAGAAAGTGTTGGTCATATGGAAAACGAAAGCTCTGTGCGAATTGGATAACACACAAGTTAAAATTTGCAAGTTTTAAATGTGTTTGTTTTCGAATCCACTGTATTCTCTGGATTCGTCCGCAGTTTTTTCTTTTCTTTATCTTAAAAACTTCAAGAAAAAGCTAGATTGAAAAAACCTTAATACAATGAAGAAGTAATCGCCGAGACTACATCTATTTTGAGGCAAAAGGTACTTCTAAAATAATATCGAACATTCGGACGATCCCTATAATCGATCTATGGTCATCGAAAATATATCAATGAACCTATTACCTAGTTAGTTGTACTATTCAAGGTCTCATTAATAATTTGACATACTAACAAGCGTTCCGTGACGTTACTCAGTTTTTCTAACGCTTCTTCAGCTCCGTGATTATATCAGTAAGTTAAGTAAGTCGATGCGTGTTTTTTTTTTTTTTTTGTGAATAGTAGTCTACTCTCGTTGCTGTCACATGATCGTTGGAAGATTCCTCGAAGTTCCCATGTTAAGCGGACACTCATAGGCGATTCAGTTTCTTAGAATGCACAAGTATATTAAATTAGGTACATTTTAGGTGTAGTAAAAATCAATCCATTATTTTCCAATAGATGGCGGTATTTATCTGTATCTCGCGTTGATCGGCTAGATGGCGTTAGAAAGATGATATTTCGTACTAAAAAAGCTTTTCCGACTGTTTTGTGATTGGTTGATTCAGTTTGAGCGCGCATCAAAAAGAACATAGCTATATTTTACAGTTTTTCTTCGATAAGAGCGAAAACGCAACACAGGCTGCTGAAAATGTGAATAGCGTTTAAGGTCCTGATATTGATACTAACAGCCAATCATATGCAATTTTGGTTTCGATTCTGTTCCGTTAATTTTGATGTCAAAGATGCACCGCGCTCTGGAAGACCAATTATCGAAAAAATCGATCAAATAATGGAAATCGCCGAGTCCAAATCGATTTCGTTTTACTACACCTAATATATGAGAAGTATAGCCAGCAAAAGTCTCAAAAGGTCTAGAATATTAAGTTAAAAAGCTATTGTGAAGTCAAAGAAGGCGGCGACGGGAATATTATAGTGCTTAAGAAGTAATGGAATTATTTAATTACCTGACCTTTAGACTTAGATTTTTTGGATTTGGGTGAAATTGTGAATGTCATTTATATAATGCTGTGTTAGAAATAATGTAAGCCTCTCCTGAAAAAGTAGTAATGATATTAACTTATAAAAAAATACAGAAACTATTAAGTTAAGTAATTGGCCAGAAGTTAATCATTAGCTTTGATTTTATTTTATTAAAAATTTTAATTAAAATGAAACTCTTCGAAGAACAGTTTTATAAATATTTGAAAATAATATTTAAAAATGGCACACCAAAATGCACCTAATTTTTTTTTTAATATGGCAGCACTTATTTTTTTTGCACAAATTAAAATACAATTAGTGAGTTGCTTCTGACTTCCACCATATTTTATTCCTTCATGGTCTGGTGTATATCACAGGTTAATTATATCGTCACTTTTACCCCACAACAAGGTGGTCAATGACAGCCAATAATTATTAACGAAAATAAATTTTACTTACATTCATATTTTTGGCAAACGAATGCTGACTTAATATTTAGTTATTCGTTAGTTAAAATAAACAAATACATTCATACTCACGAGCTGTTCGCGCTATATTTTAAATCTGTTTGTTAAAAATCGCAAGTCAAAGCAACTTTCTACAAGTTTTGAATTGTTGTAGTACAACGAAAGTGTTGTCAGATATATTAATTTTTTTCTTTTTGTGCATATGCATACGTACCAATGTGTATAAATATGTATATTTGTACATATGTACCGAAAAAACTGTTGTAACTGTGAAGCACGTATTGTCAAAACTTGAAAAAAAAGCGAACATAAAAACGCACGAAAAACCTCAAAGTGGAAAAATATAATGAAAAGTTGTCTGAACTTTAATTTCAGGAAAGCGAAAATCTACAACAATAATAACATTATTAATAATAACAATAAATAAAATAATGAAAATATTTTATGGACTGCTGATTTCCTCCGGAACTATACAATTGACACTTCTTATACTATATACTTGTATGTATAAAATATATATTTTATATGTATGTACAATATGTTTGGTTGAAAATGTGGAAAGAAAGTCAAGGTTGCTTTTGTTGACATGACAATTACACTGCAAAGAAATTATTTATTTTGACTCATGTTTTGCCATTTGACAACCGCTGTAGCTGGCTGGATTGTGTGTTTCACTACCATGCAATGGGTAAATATATGGTGACTTATTTATCGTTAAGAAAGTCTTACCTCAAACTAAACAAGAAGAAAACAAATAATTAAAGCAAACTTACTTTAACTAAAGCAAAAAAGAAAGTAAGACATGAAATTGCCAACATATTGATTTTATTAGTTTGCATATCTAATGGCATTTGTATTTAAAGAAAATTTCGGATAAGCGCAGTCCGCACTATGAGTTTTGATAGCCGTTTTGTTAGTTCGATTTTGTACTACGTTTTCTAAAACGACCGATCTTAAATCTGGTCGAACAGCTAGATCATTGATCTGACGCACCGCCATAAAATGCCAAAATTAGTCTTATGAAGTTAAAGCATAAAAACTAGATGACCTATAAACGAACCCATTTATCAGACTCACAGATTTATTTAATTTTATGAATCAGTCATCGAAAGTTTGACCCACTAAATTATTGTTCCAAGCACGATGGAGTCCAACTACTACTCCAAATATGCTTACATCTATAGCCTCACAGGTAATATTCCATCATAACAGGTTAAAATCCATCTCAACTAAAGCTCATCAATACCTGTCGGCAAAGAGTCGATGCAGATCTCCATTTGCTGGTGTATTGGTCAAATCAACACAAAATAAATAATTTTATGAATAAGGAATACAACAGTAAAAACAAGAAAAAACGTTAACTTCGGCTGCAGCGAAGCTATAATACCCTTCACAAATACAAAGGATTCCCCACAAGAACTTCATTCCGATCGTTCAGTTTGTATCGCAGCTATATGATATAGTGGTACGATATAAACGTTTCTGACAAATAAGAAGCTCTTGAGGAAAAAAGCGCGTGTGCAAAATTTCATATCAATCTCTCAAAAATTGAAGGAGTAGTTCGTGTATATACAGACAGACAGACGGACATGGCTGAATCGACTCAGCTCGTCATGGAGATCATTTATTTATATATTTTATAGAATCTCCGACGCTTCCTTCTGGGCGTTACAAACTTCATAGCAAGCTTAATATACCCTGTTCAGGGTATAAAAATTTTGTTTTTGGAAAAAAATGTGTTGTAAAGAGCTCCTTAAGCGACTTAAAATTTGTAAGTAATAGAAATTATAAATTAAGCTAGACTGTAAATTTATTATTTTATATAATATAATATATATATTATTTTATAAATTAATATAATATAATTTTTTCTAACATCTACTATTCAAACAAAACACTTAACTGCCATTTGCTTTTAATGAATTTTTTTCACTTTCAACTGACTTTTTACATGCAAACTTTTATTGAGTCATTCTCAAGTCACTTAAAATTTAATTTTTTTCATGTCAGCATACTGAAAATTCGTTTTTAATTCTTGATAATCGGGAATATGAACTTTAGATAGAAAAATAAATAACAGTCACAGCGACAACAAATACTAGCACAAAATATATTTCAAGAAATCTTGACTATTTGTGTCAGCGTCTCGAGAGCAAGTTGAACAAATTCCAAGCGACAAATAAATTAATACAATTACAAACGAAAGAAACTGGCTTATAAAAAAGTGTCAAGCAACCGACATCAGCGGCTCTTTTCAAATGGCAAATAATTCAGGCTTCAATATGTACTCGCATACGTGTGTTCGTACACATATGTGCGTGTATTTATGTATGAAAGTTGGTGGTAAAGTCGACTACCTTCATGAATGAGCAGGTTCTTGACATTCTAGTTCTTTTGCTCCCCAAGGCAAAGTCACTTACATGGCAACGAATTAAAAGCGAAAATATTTTTATAAGCAAATGTACATACAAATGTATACATATTATATATTTGTATATATGTGGATAATTTGAAAATTGCATTAAGCCATGTGTATGTAAGTCTGATAAATGATATGTATACCTATAAATAAATTAAAAGCTTACGAACTTGCGCTTGAAAATGAATGCATTTTGTGTGATGATTTTGACTAATTAAGTGCACCGGTCTAATGTATTTATGATTGTTATTATATTTTTAATGACAAATGCATAGTCTGAGTAATAAAATACAAACTAAAATTTTGCTATTTTATTTTTAAAGGTTATAGTAGCTCAGCTTAGATTGGTTCGGACAACAAATTTTCCTTAGAGTCCTTTAATAGCCAAGTACGTATGACAAATGCATTTTCGATCTCTTTTGAGATTTACTTGTTATACTACTCCGTCTTTTCCTTGGTATGTTGAAAATTGTTTTGAAATATCCATGTTGATCCACCAAACACCATAGTTGCTACCCACGTTTAATTGGCTTTATAGAATAGTATTGTTTGATGGCACTCCTACAATAAAAAAAAATAATATATTCATCTACTGATAGTTCCTTTGTTTAATTATATAACTGCTGAAATCGTCAATTTAAAGCGTCAACCATTACACGTATTTTGAAAAGCCGATCCTGATTGTTTTCCGTTATCGTGTACATGTAAAAATCATAGTATGGAAACAGATTTGTTACGTGACTATGTTTTTGATATAATTGGTTTTCACTTGTACTCTAATAATGTCGCCAACTTGGAAGTTGATGTAAACTCACTTTTTTTAAGATTAAGTTTTTTAATAAAAACGTTTCAAAAATATACTGTTACATTTCCAGACCAAAATTTTCAATATTTTCGAAGTTGTAGCCACAAAAGGAGAGCGCGCCGTCCCAGGCATAGCTAATTGATTTATGTAAGTATTATTTGTTGTCAAAACTTTTAACGTTTTTTTCTCGAAACCGCTTAACGTTCCTTCGAGAACTCCACTTCAACACAAAAAAATTATGAATAAATCAGTATAAAATTAAGTAAACAATTTTTGTGTATGCTTGAAAGTAGTAATAAAAACATATAAAAATTACAAAACGATGGCATATTATTTTCAAACAAAGGGAGTGATCGTTCACAGCCCGTAGAATATTAATCACGTATTCAATGTAAACATTGTCGGTAGCTAGCAATGCTTCCTCAAAAAAAATATATAATTTTGTATTTTCCCAAACCGATTTGATATGGTACATATAACTGTTATATATATACATATATGCGTGTACTCAGTTCTTGTGACTGTTAAATCTTTTAGGATTCACAAAGCACGAAATAAATCAAAATACTGTCTAGACATGAATGGAATCATAAAAAGTATTGTAGCTTCTTGTTAATTTGAGCAATATTTATTCGGCATTTCTATGAATAATAAAATCTCACACAATTACAAATACATAATTTCACACATACATACATATTAACAGATGGTAGTAGCAACTTTGCATATTAATATACTTATATATACTACAATTTATTCAAAAACTCAAATTTACCTACTTAGCTGCCAAAAAGCGCGCGAATATTAAATATACAAGATATTTGAGAGTAAAAAAATAAAGAAAAACAGCTCTAACTTCTTTATACATTTGTCAAATTTAAAGTTGCGGGTAGATTCTCTTGGGCTTTGTGTTTTTATTTTTTCTTTGCAATACGACCTTGAGCTTTGCGAAAGATATTTTTAAGATACAAAATATACAAGCAAAACTTGTCGGTACACAAGCAGTACACAACTATAATCGTATGACATTTGTATGTATGTGTATGGTATATGACGCTGGAATATTAATTGAATGCTTGAATTCATGAATTTACTCATAACCCATTTAAGTGCTTTTCGCAAACAAATCCTCACAAATAAAATGCGATCAGGTTAGACAATCACTGCGTGCAAAGATCTTTGGCAGCCGAAGCAACCACAGACTTAAATAGGAAGAAAATATTATTTAGCTAAAAACGTTAATTTTATTAATCGTAAATTATTGAAGGTTAATGCAAAAGTAATTGTTATAAAGCATAGAAAGCATACAATTTCTTCATTATAGTAGGAGGTTGAATTTACCAGTATTATCTCTTCCATGGCTCCACTATTAAAACAATAAAAATCCAACTTTTTATATAAAAAAACGTTGAATTGTTACACAAAAAGTTTCATAAATATTTTTATATAAAATCTGTACCTCCTCTATTTTGAAATATTTCAAACATTTTGTGCTAAACACCGCATTGCATTTTGCCTGCATTCCCCATGAACTTGACCTACTATCAGTTTATTATTGTCACATGGACGACTATGTATAGTTTTAATTTTTTTATTGGCTAATTAAATAAGTGTAACAATAATTAATTTTTTATAGCGTGTAATTTATCCCCATACCGCGATTGCTATTATTAGCGAACAATCCAGCGATGTGTTTTTTTTTTATAATTATTTTAATATTATACATATAGAGGAAGCAATTTATTAGTAGCAAATACTGAACGAGAAATAGAGCGTGTGGGCCTCATGACGACTCTTTCACGATAAATGATCTAACTTTGGGGAACTAATTATATGCATTGCCTTTAGTGAATTAATATTTAACCTATATCAAATTGTATCGCAAAACATTATGAAGTCTGCCTACATATTTTAAATTATTTTTTTTTTCATAAAGTCTCTTGTTAATACATTGTTATGGTTATTGTAATAAAAGAACTAGTCCCTAGTTTTTGAGATATTGATCTGAAATGTTCCACACGTCCTTTTTATCCCCAGGAAACCGCTCTCTTGTCGAAACTGCCATGCCATATATAGACCTACTGATCTTTAGTAATGCCGGATGGAGGTCCAGTTGATTTTGAGTTGAAATTTTTGTCATACAGGACGTCAATCTTTTTTTTAGAACTTTAACAGCCACTTGATATTTAATTTTGATACTTTATCTAGTTCCTTTAACTAACTTCTAGAACAGAACATGGAAGGTGTTCCAGCGTCTCTTTCATTGTTTCCCTGCATTCTCTGCATGTATCGATACTTATGCCCACCCGCTTCTCTTATCATTAGGCCAACAACCGTTCAGCAGTACATTCGAAACCGTGTGTGTAAAAAGCATGCTTGTTTTGCTTCAGTGATTCTGCACATGATTTTGGCGATCCTCATGTTCTTAAGGCGTTCCATCTCACACTGATCCATCTGCCAGCCTTTTTAGAAGTTTCATTGTATGACTTACATATTTTTTGTACTGGTTCGGTAGCCAGACGGATGGCACTTTTGGCAATCTCATCAGCTATTTCGTTTCCCGGAATTCCTTTGTGGCCTAGAGACTAGTATATATGAAGCCGCTTTCCGGCTGCCACTACATCTACAGCCTCCCTGCTTCTCTGACTTCACATTCTCTGACGTAATGCGAGATTCTTGCCTTAAATATCGGCTGGTTATCGACGTATATACGATCATCATTATGTTGTTTCTTGCATTGTTAGCTATCTCATACCGCAATGACTTCCGCCTGGAAGATACTGCAGTATTTGGAAGCTTGAAGGGTTGCCTAAAATCCAATTCCTATCAATAGATGCCAACTTCCACTCCATTATCCAAAAATGGTCTGATCCGTCTGTGTTAATGTTGTAAGTTCCACTGGCAAGTCGCATGCTCCTGCGCCATTCACCCTCTTTTTGTGTGACTTGAAACCTTCTATCCCAAATAAAGTGCGAAGGCATAAAATACCCACCAACCACCTACCTAGTAAGCGAACTATGCGCGAAGGTCCTTGTGGAGAATTTACCTAACGCCGCCAACCGTGTAACTAATTTTGCTAAAAACCTTTCTATAATTTACTATCCAAAATTACAACCCCGTTGAGCCTCAGATCTTTCCATGTGGGGATTTTTACTTCGTTGTAAATAGTACCATATCTGTCTTATCGGCATTTACCTCTATGATGACCGACATCGACCATCGATTTCGTTTAAAAATGTAATTTTTTCTCTTGTGATTGCCATATACAAGTATATCCATCTTTTTTTCTCCTATCTCCTTCCAGATAAACTCTTAGTCATTGATTTTTCAGTTTTAAAGCTTCAGTGACTTAGTCGACTCATTAAGACTTGTTTTGGTACGGGGATTTCCGTACGAGTTCGGAATAAAATATTTGAGCAGGGTATAAGAATAGTTGACACCAATGCTAATTGAAAATTTGCATTGATAATATACCTATGTAGTTTAACAAAAGTTAAAGATCCGAACATCATATAAATAAATATGGAAATACATAGGAAATAGTCTAGCATCAGGTCCTCAAAACAATTATATAAAATAGGCTGCAACAATATATCAAGCTCTAGTGGTATTATGGAAAAAGGGGGTGCCTACATTTAAAAGTAGGAAGTGAACTGAATTGCTCGATATAGTAAACCATCGCAGTAACAATTTTTGCACATAAGCTTTATATGCACATACATACATTGCATAGTGTACTTGTACATCAATATATATTTATATTTAGCTACTTTGTTGACACTTACTCGCCACAAGAAATCCAAGTTATGTGCGTAAGTTAATCTCTAGTCGACTGCTTCCGCTGATTTGCCGCATAACTGGCTTAACTTGCCGCATGACAAGGTGGCAAATCAACTGACAACACTACAAGTATTTGAAGTTTATGCACCGATTAATGGCTAACCTTGCACTTCCGGGCTCATGCAGTATTTCAATATTTTTGTGACAAAACAAACAAATAATTTTTTAATTTTTTTGTAAAATTTTGAAATGCTGTTGACTTGGTACAGATTATATATATTTTATTTATCCAAATTGTCATAGCTTTATAATTATAAAACAATATATATAAGCATATAGTATATATTACTCCGATTGTCAACATGTTCGTGAGGCTATATGATGACCATGAAAAAAATAACTTCACAGTGCAGTCTTCTTATTGAATTCCAAGCATATTTATTTCACCATTTCCCTAATTACTAGTTATTACCGTAATTCTTTTACCACTTACCAATTATAAAGTGATATTGTACAATATTTAAGGTGAATAACACCTTTTGAGTAATTGGACAATTTGTACTTTGTTATAAAAAACAAAGCTTTTGTTTGGACCATATATTAATTTCGTATGCCGCAATGACAAAGAGGAAATATCTACTTCGAGTTCAAACAATTTCTGTAACTTTTGTGTGCTTGTGTATAACTCAAAGTACAACATCTTATACATACTCACATGTCTGAGTATTTATTACAAAGTTTTTTTTTTTTTTGTGAAACTCGTAAAGTGATATGAGTAAGAGCAAATACAACAATAAAGTGATAAAAGCTCAACTGTATCAAGCAGCATTCATATACATATGTAGATGTTATTAGGTACGAGTACACACATATAAAGCTACATGATATGTGTGAGTGCAACTGTGAATGAAAAAATTTGTACGTTGTGATATATCTGTAGTAAGCGATTGTTTTGTAAATAAAGAAAGGGAAAGTAATTGTGTGCAACCGCGAAAAGTGAAAGATGTGTTAATGAAGAGAGTAAAGAAGAAGTAATATATTTACATACATGTATAGGTATATCTAAATAACTGCATATGTTTTGCTATTTTTCAAAGTATTTTAGCAGATAATTGTGTTTACAATTCTATATCTATATATATATATATATAAATGCTTACAAAATTTTTTGAGATTCTCTAAATTTCTGTGGAGTATTTGAGAGATCATATTCTCCAGCTCATTTAAAACTGGACCTCTGCCGCTATGAAACCAGGAATATTGCTTTTTGGTCACTGCTGAGTGGTTTTTACTTGTTTGTTGGAGCAGAATCTTCCAGAAAAAGCCAATCGAAGAGAGAACCGCTTAACTGCTTTACCACGCCTTCTAAAACACACTGCTGTTAGACTTTTACCCCAGCCTTAAAAGGAGACTCCCTACCATCCCACTACAGCAGCTGGATGGTGGTCACGTTGAATCCTTGAAATAATATTTTAGCGTCTTTTGCGTAGAT